CCCCTTTCCCCTCCGTTACTCATTAATAACAAATAATATCGAAAAACAAATATACAGAATTTATGCGCTAATTATGCGTTATTATATACAGATGATTTTGATTTTTACGTTGCAATCCTTAAGAGTTATATGAGAATTTCCCCTTTTGCTTCATGAGAAAAACCTCTTAAGGATTGCAGTGCAAAAATGAAAATCATCTGAATATAATAGCGCATAATCAGCGCATAAATTCTGCATATTTGTTTTTCGACATTAATTGTTATTAATGAGTGGGGGGACTCACTGACTGTCCACTCAGCCCACCCATAAAAAAATTTTTTTGCTATACTAAAAGAGCGCAAATTTTTTTCTTTATAGATTTGGTGAGCGCTTAATTAGTGCATAATTATATAATTTTTTTATTGAATTTGCACAAAGGTGGGGGGGGGGGCGTAGCTAGGCAGACGTGACATTTGGACTTAAACAAACCCACGAACCTGAGCTCACGCACTACGGTTATACAAAATAATTAAGAATTTTGGCGCAAGAGAAACAATTTAAAAGTGCGAATAAAGTAAGAAAGAACTTTGCAAGAAAAAATGTTTTTGATTGGCAATATAGGCTTAATCTTAACGCCATTGTTTTTTTATTAAAAAGATTAAAAATGCAAATAATATTCTTTAAATTAAAAATAATTAAAATTAGATATAAATGATAACAATTAAATGCTCATCAAAATGTTACACATGCAAATGATAATTTTTATTAATAGTTTAATAATTCTTGATCAATTCAACAGTTACGTGACAGTGTGATAGGTTTGATTGATTTGGACGCTGACATTTGTTGTTCGCACGAACGTTTGATCCGCCGCGAACACCACGCGGTCTGCAATTATGCAATTATAATTTGTGCATCGCTTGTGAAGCGAAGGCCGTTTCGCTTGGATTGGATTAATCGCCAACGGGCGCTATCTTGGCTTTAGAATAATTCATGCATCCTTAGGTAGACTTTCAACGACGTTGGCATAGAAAATCGCAGCGCCAATCTGGCGCCTAGTCATCGGGGAGATGTCAGATCGATCTACTCCACGATGCATACCAATTGATGCATCGTTCACGTAAGAACTCGAACGCACCGCCGGTCTTTGTCTACTTCACGGGTTCGTTCAACTGAATTCTCTATTCGATTTGCATATCGGGTGAATTAATTTCAAAGCGATGCGCTAATTTGCTCATCCTTGCATTGATTGCTTTGCAAGGAGCAAACTTTAATTGTACGCGGTAATTATTAGAGGTATTTATATGCAAATAATACTTCGGAGCAAAGTGGTTTACCGTAAGACTGAAATTATGCACAATTTGTGTAGCTAGTAAAATTTATCAGTATCCTTACGGGGAACCATCGGGGACTTGAATTTTTCTGTATATATATATATATATATATATATATATATATATATATATAATATATATATATCTATAAGTGGGAATATTAAATAGTTACATTTCTCTTAAATCTTTATGGTACATTTTCTACTATCATTTCAATGAACCAATAACCCACTTAATTCAGATATTAACACTAAACTCGTATTTTCAAGACGGCCGATATATGTACACATGCGCGCTACATATTCATATTTGTGACTAGGATCATGTTCAGTAACATCTCAACACCATGAACGAAGATATATATAGGTATATATATATATATATAATATGTACATCTAATATGCAGGCCATCTTTAAATTACGAACGGGGCATACTTGTATCACAGTAACATATCTAACACATGTTACAAACTTTGTACTCCATGTGACATATAACGCTAGCATACAAATTTTGTAATACAAAATGCGCTTTATTACATTTACTTAAATACTCTTCCGTATAGTCTTGTCGAATCTGTTGGATTCGGAACCGTCGTCGTCTATGTACAGTATGTCAAATTCTTTTTTTTTTTTATGAGATTGCATTACATAAATCGTGATTTCGACAAAATAGATATCTGTACAATTGCTACTACTTTTATTTGTTTATACAATGAGAAATAATTATAAATACGATGCAACCGATGGCATTTGTTTCAAAAAATTATTGAAATATGATATTTTTTACGGAATATTTTCGTTTCTATGAAATAACGTGTAAATTAGACAATAGCTGTCTCTTCTTTGGTGCGTAAAAAACTAATTGAATATTGAACGGCGCGATCGCATTAGACAGACTATGTTGAATTAATTATAATAGTAATTCTAAAGCTCACCACCGAATGTAGCTTTTATACTCTTCAGTTATACTCACTCTCTTGATAGTTTCGTAACCTAGGATAATCGAGAAACTAAAGCAAGCGGATTGTACGAGCCTCGCGGAGAGTCCTTTGGTAAACATGTGCAAACCTTCCTCAATCCACAATATCCTAAACGCACTGAACATATTGTCTAACCGTTGTACTTGCAACCTCGCTCTCACAATATCCAAGGGATTCGTGATGATTGTAGTCGTGAAACCGCCCAACGTGCCCGCCATCGCTTGTATGCACAAGTGAGAGAACCATTCCGGTAGTAGTTTTATGAGTTCGTCTGTGGAAAGACAGGCATGAGAAATGTTATCAGCTCGTGACTCTAGCTGTAAGATACGAAGTACAATTACCTTGATAAACTGTATACAGTCCCCACCAAAGGGCGCTATTAGGTACATACGCGCACAGAGATGCCACGTATCCACGATAAAAACCGCGATAACCATCTCTCTGATAAATTAGCCTTATTATTTCGGCAGAAATTTGTGCGCGGGTTTTTCCGGGTTCGAGGGTCAAACCTAATGGGTTCATTCCCATCTGGAAAGAATTTGATATTTTGAATATAGTGGATTATAATTGCACCAAGAAATGTATAGAAACTCACCTTATCCATATACACTCTACCATGCTTAGTGCTATTTATACCGAGCACCATTAGATGTTGACTGAGTACATCGAAGGGCACGACAATTGTTTGCCCAACCAAACTGGCGGCACCGCCAGCGATCAATGCTTTCACTTTTGAGTCAACACGTCCAAGGGATGTATCAGTCAATAAATGGCGTACACCTTCGTATGTCGATACGTAAAATACTCCGGAAACGATCTGAATAGAGCTTATCCAAAAGCCTCTGTAAAGGCCCGAGACACCTTCAACTTTGTAAATTTTTCTACACGCATCTATCATACCTATATGAAAAAAATCTTATTATATTTACAGAATAATATGTTTGCAAAAGTCAAAAGTAATTTATACATACCATTATACATGTGATTTTGTCTTTGCACCTGAAGACGAGTCTTGATCACTGTCAGAGGATACAGGCAACACCTGACCGAGAATGAAGACAGCATGCTGAGTGGAAAGAATTTGGTCTTGTCCATCATATCCCATTCGATGGTGCGAATGAATGGTGTTGCCTCTACCGCAGACATTTCGTGGATGAGCACAGATGTTGTAGCTCGTAGCAATAGATAGGTCAAGCAGAGAGATTTGCCAAGGATTTCCTCCAACTTGATGCCGCATATCTCATCTGTATATTATGAGCATTAATGCCCAAAATTCGGAGAAATCTATAAGAATATATAATTATTTATGATTTAGAGAACGTTAAAGCAAAGAATTGCAGGTGTTTTCGATTATTGAAAAGTAACCTATAATTTAGGTTATCTTAACCTTAAAAAGAGAAAGTCTTTTAAAATTATACTTTCAGGAATTTTAAATAACACATTAAACACATAAAAAATTTTATTTTAGCATTATAAAGTAAGGACGATTTTCTAGAATTGTTGTGGAATGTTTTTTAACGCATAATTAATCGAAATGTCAAAGTGACATTTCGAAGTAATTTGATTTAAAAGCACAATTATAAAAATTTTTACACAAAATAAAATAGAATATAAAATAGTGAGGCTATTAAATAGTAATATTTAATATTCAATGTCGATTAACTATATATACGAAATTTAATAGTATATATTTGCAATATTGGAACAATCCATTGCTTCAAGATTTTATATGCTTATCATAATATTAGTATGATCTAGTACTTATGATATCATTCTAATATCATAAGTATTAAAAATATTAATTAAAATTTTTTTTTCAAATTTGACTTCAGTGAAACGCTGCTTGCAAGAATTTTGATGGTTAACAATTTGGAAATATACTTGGCAAAGTACCCAATTAGTATATTGACATTATCACCGGCCCAAAAACCACACCGAAAGATATAAATTGTTTACAAATAGATTGATAAAATATATTTACTTACAGTGATGTAATATATTCTCGAAATGATGAATTTACTCCGAACTTCATAAAATTTTCTTTTCGATATTCGTCGCAATGCTGTCAGCAGTCTTTGATATTTATAACATGACCGATATATCAATTATACTATCACGTATCACGTCACTAAACGCTCAATTTATTCTATAACATGAATACATTTTTATTCGGAATTTGGTCTTGACTGCAAAGATAACAGAACCTGTGGAAAATGAGCTGCACATTCGGCAAGATTTTCACGCAAGCGCTTTTATATCTCTTCCTGGTAGTGACATCTAGAACACCTAGTGTAGTATTCATTCGGGATTTATCTGCGGTTGTATAAAGCGATAGCATCTATTGATATGTAAGAAATATCAGTTCTTACCAATCAACGTTTCGAGTATAAACATAAAAATTAAATTTCTCGAACAGAAATAAAATTTCACAACAGCAATTATTTTCACGTGAAAACTAACGATATTGAATTAAAGTTGGGTCATGCATTGAAGAAATAAATCAATTTGTATTTAATTTTGAAATTATCAATTTAGTAAGTATAGGAGCAAATTTATATAAATTATTTCGTGAATCGTTGAAAAAGAAATTATTTACGTATTTTTTTTTAGATACAGTGTTGAAACTCTCATTATTAAAAGAAAAATTAATTTATGAATATAATTCATAAATTTTGTTATAATCGAGGTTTTTTTCTGATTATTTGGCCAGGTGCAAAATTATTTATTGGAGTAATAAATTGTTCTCACAATTATAAAGTTCTTGAACAATTGTAATATACGACTTTTAGGAAAGAATAACATTTTTTCAATGATCGTATCACAATTCGTGAATAGTCAGAGTAGTATTCGTACATTTACTCGGGGTGACTTAGACTTAGAGTTTTATTAGACATACTTCTAGCGAATATCTCGACGGCGATCGAATCGAATTTGCGGAGCATGCTGCCGAAAAGAGCTTACGGCTCTCTTTTCCGCGTAGAAGTTCGCGGTGCAGCATCATCCCTCGTATCGCGAACGTATGTCGCCAATGAATACTAGGCTCCGCCCAGCACTTCGTTGCAGTGGTTGGCAAGGAGGCGAAATACGCGCAGGACTGAATTCTACGTCACGTTGGGGGCGTATACCGTGGCGGAGACACAACCCCCGATTCTGGTCGCGAGGGTGGCTCACCCCTCTGTTCGCATCGAGATCAAATCACCCGATTCAGTGCTATCTTCGATCTTCGCGCCGTAACATCAGCCGGCGATCGACGATATCCGCGAGTTGCGCGAATTCGATTGCGCGTTTTTCCAAATTGAATCGATGAATCCGTTCGTTTTTAGTGACAAATTTTTGATTCAATAAGAGACCCATCGCGGACGAATAACGATAAACTGCGAAATTATGATGAATCTTGCCGATCAGGAGGTGCCTGCCGCGACGACGGAATTGGCGAGCTTAGTAAGTAGTTAAAAAATTATCTGTTTTTTTAAAGATAAAATTCTCTCTCTCTCTCTCTCATTAGATCGAAAGAAATATTATTAATAGTATGCCATTGCTGAATTTATTGCAGTTTTTATTAATCGATAAAAATACCATTTTTTAATTTAAAAATTAACATTTAAAAAAATCAAGTCTGTAACACTTGATTGCATTTAATGTCTTTATTATGAGTGACAGAATGAAGAGTTTGATCTAGATCCAACCAAGAATTGGAAATCTAGATCGTTTATGCAAAAATTTTATTTTCACGTTGATATTTTATCGCGATCTATTCGCTATAGATAAAATATCAAAGTTTAAGAAAAATTATTTTATTGAATAGACAGAACAAGCAAGAGAAAAATAATTTAAATACACTCGATTGTAGATTTGACTGTATTTTTTATCCTGCTTTTTTATTAACTCCAACTTGTAAAAAGACTCTTGTAAAAAACTCCGTGAGAGACTCCGCAATGTAATGCATCATCTGTCTCGCGAAAGTATTTAAGATCCATTAAACACCGTAAGATCATCACGCGTCATTCGGTTTGATCCGGATGTCCGACTTCCTCGGACTCAGTCGTCGGCTGAATGGAATCTTCATCGAGTGGCACTAGGCCCGGGTCATCGTGCGTACAATGCGGCCACTCGAGGGATGATCACTCGGTCGGGTGGCGAATTGCCGCGGCACGCGTCTCCACGCTCCACTCGGCTCGTCCCACGGGTGCCACCCCTTTTGTGTCCTCTAAACACGTAATTGTCGCCGTTATCCCCCGCGTGTGTACGCGCCACCACCGTGACGACACGGCACGCGGAATCCGTGGATAGTCAATGGACACACGCGGGTAGGGATGATGCGGCGGAGAGAGAGACACTCGCGAAGCACTTGATTTATGTTTGTTGACGCTAAAAATCAGCCGATTCCCACACACGTTCCCTATCTGCCGACGGCGCCGTTTAATTGACTGCCACGGAGTAGCATATGTCGCCACTCGAATTTCCCATGATTAAGCGTGGTTTCTTCGGGGACGGGGCGTGCGCGAGCTCACACTAAACTGTAGTTGTATATAGTTTCATCCGTCACTCATCCGATCGACTTTTCGATGAAATTCAAGTTAAATTAACCAATCATTATTTGCATTGTGATTGTCTTTTTGAGTTCGATACTGTTCATTTTATGCAATAAATATGTAATATGTTTGTCAGAAGCGGTGATTGGAAATTATTACTACAATTTGAGTGCCGTTTGCGACACAAAAGCAACACCAAAATTCTGATCCTTCTAACGCGATTTCTGCGACATCTTGAGGGAAGCAATTAGCTGATAAACTTCGCCACTGTGATGCTTTAATCTCGAGATCTCTCATATTGTCCCTCTTGCCGGGCATTGTTCGCCTTCTAGTGTTCACCGCTGTCATTGTCTTCGCACCTCGCCGCCGCTAAGAGTAAGAAGACGGCAGGAAAACTTTCTTGGCGAAGTAATAGGACTCTTCGTCTGTAATAAAAATTGTCCGTTGCTATCGTTATCGACACATAATTGGCAGAAGAAAATCTGCCGCTTTTTATCCGCTTATTCGGAAGTGAACGTGTGGATTGTTAAAAATATTGTGCACACAGACTTCCTATTTTAATTATAAAATTTTTAATTTGTTTCTAGCTTTTCTAAATTTACAAGTTTCGTCTATGACATGTTGTTTTAGCGCATCACATCCGAAATCTTGCTTCCCGGGCCGTCGGGCGATCGCAAATCAAGGAAGGGAAACAGCTTCGCGACGTGTCGTCTGCTCGATGACTTTATTATAAACCGAACTTCGAAGTGCACAATTACTACAAGGGTGGGGAATGCGGATTGGGGTGCCGTTGTGCGACCCCTGCAACCCCGTTGCGAACGACGGGGCGTTCCCTCGACTCGTCGTGGGTATCTCGTTTTCACGAGAGGCACAAACGCGCGTGTATGTGTAAAGTCGCATTCCGAATGCTCCGTTTGCATCGTCTAAAATGACATCCGCTGGGAAAGGTCACGTCAGAGCCGAAACGTTAAACGGTACGCGCTCCTATGTTTACACACTTCCCGCTTACGCGTCATTACCTTGGGTTAATCCACTGTTAAATCCGGTTCGATGAAAAAAAAATGTCGATGGGAGATCGGCGAGGGAAGAATGTTTCAAGCAACTATTGCAAAAATTCGCGGCACAGTGGTTTCCAGTAATTTGAAATGAAATATGTATTAATTAAAATGATGGAATATATTTATAAGATATTGAATTTTCTGACTCGCGATTGATCGAATGTTTTTTTAACATGTGATTTTCGTTAAATTGACGCTTGTTCCGTGCACGCTCGAGATATTCTTTACGTTCCGTTAATAGTTTTTGCGTCAATAAATATGTATACATAGCGGATTGGCAGGCGTATTAAACATTTAAGGCGGTATTAGTGAATGTAATTAAAATTTATGTCCAAGCGCACGGCTCGCGCGGATTACGGGCGCCGTGCCATCGCGGCAACTAATTGCGGACGACGATTAATTGCGATCAAAGGAAAATCTCGAGGAGAAATTATGAACAAATAATGGAACTTTGAGCAGCGTGACTCCACCGGATGCTCGTTAATATCAATATATCTTTTTTATCGCAAATTCAATAGAGAGCTGTACAATTTGTTTTATGGGCGATAGTTCAATATGTATGTCATTTCGTCATTTAAATATCTTAATTTCCGTCTGACAGAATTATTTTTTAACAGCGTGATTTTTTATACAATCGCGAAAAATATTTACGACGTGAAAATGTATTGCAAACATAGTTTGTCTTCCCGTAGTCAAATTTTCCAGAGTCAAAGGCAACATTCACGTTATCGAAATTCCCAAAACCGGTAACTAAGTTTACCACTAGATTGCCCCGCAAGGAGGAAACCGTCCAATCGTTCACCGGATGTCTTCCTTGCCGTCTCTCTTACCCTTCTCTCCCTTTCTCTCTCTCTCTCTATTTCTCACTGTGTCTTTCGCTTCTATATTGAAGCCTCGAGCCTCACAATCACTTTCTGAAATTAACTACATTCTCTTTCACGCTCATCCGATATTGCGATTTATTTTCGAAAAACGTATGTCGGGAGCATCGTTTATTGCTGATGTATTTCTCAAAGATAGGACTATCATTAAATTTTTATATCTTATAATCAGTCATAATTTTTGCTTCTCTTATTTCAGTCTGGAAACGGATTCGGCAGATTACCCGAGCCGCTTCAGACAGTCGCAGGGGAATATTGTCCCGGCAATTATGCAGTGTCTCAGACGACGAACAATGAAAAGCTGCACACCGGTGAGTAGAGTATTAATGAAGAGCTTCGAACCCGAAATCGCGGCTTAATACTTTCTAGTCAGCTGCAACAAAAGATATTCGCGCCAATCTAGAGCGAAATTCTTACACACGTAACGGCTTAACGTCTTCCGAAAGAAAATATTCGCGGTCTCTAAGCCACTTTACGTCTTAACGAGCTTGCGAGGATGTAATCAAGGGAAAAGGTGAGTGACGCGGGGCAGAGACCGGTCGATTCTTCGATTCCCTCGTCGTTCGACTTTGAAGCTCTTTGATACCGTCGCGGCGCGGAGACGTCGCGTTTCCATCGGGACGGAGCCTTCGATACACGAAGTCACCGTGTAGATCGCGAGAGAGAGAGAGAGAGAGAGAGAGACAGAGACAGAGAGGGCGCACACATAGAGAGCAGGGTACGTTTAGGAACACGTGCGGGGACGTGTACCCCGAAACGAAGCGCCGGCGAGGAAGAGGGGGAGAGACGGGAGGGTGAGCTATACCCCCTGAAGAGAGCCTGTCACTTGCAGGCAGTCGAGTCGATATCTTTATATAGTCGCATCAACGACGACATTATTTTCCAAAGGTCGTGGCGAGACGCGGTTGCACCGTGAGACATCGCGCGAGACAATCCGATCGGGAGTACTCGACGCAATTATTCGAAACGTTTTCCAATCGCTCGGCCAATATTTCTCAAACTCATCTTCGCGCGATGCTTCCAATTCTCCTGCCGCGAAGTCGAGTAATCGGATGATGATTAGTTTTATATTAAACACCATCGCGCGCTTGATTGAATTGTACTTACAAGACCGGGGATATCCCAGAGAGTCGTAGGTATCCTGCGATAAGTCGCGAATTATGGCTGACGTTAAGAAAACACAACGCGTATTAATTCACACTATCGTGCTCTTTCTCGCAACAGCGCTTCCTCTTCCGGGCGAGCATCTTAGCCTTGACCCAGATATGCAGCGCCAATTCTCCGACGCGAAATTCAATAAGTGACGTGTTATCACCGCAAGGACTCTCCTGGGGTGTCCTCGCAATGCAACCCCCGATCGTACCCTCGTCGCGCGGGGACAGTCGCCGAACTACCCCAACCGGCGTCTGGCTGCGGTGATTGACACTTTATATCTAGCATTGGCATGCCGTGGAGAAGCCACCACTCACTCAGGATGGACCACCTCCACCTAACTCAATCACTGCCTATAATGCCGCAATTTCTCTATCATAATCGCGTTACGTCCCCTCCACCGTCTCGATCCACTCTTCGGCGACAATTCAGAAATATTGAAACTCAACGCCGTGACAGATGAAAATATCGTTCCTCTCATTCGTCTTTATGTCGCGTATCTGGAATCAACATTGCGACACTTTTTCTTAATCCCGATGGTGAATGCAACATTCAAGAATTTAATTAATTCTGTTTATTATTCTATCACTTTACTTCGTTATTTTTACTTAAGTGTTTATAAACGAGCGTTAAATCAAATTATGAGAGTTTTATATGCAACGCACATTCATCAATTTTGATATCAGCGATAAAATGTAATCCATATTAGACGGACATAAATTAGTTACAAGCTCATTGATTTAGATATGCTTCAATGCGACATGCAAAGACATCGCAAACCCTCGAGGTATCTTAACAGGGAGTATCGTTATACGCGAGCAATGAGCTGTAGAGTAAGTAGATTCGATTCGCGTCACACTAGATTCTGCTGTGGAACAAAACGAGATTATTGTCGAGTGGCTACCCATAGCGAATCTTCTAGGCCCATTAAACGCACCCCAGTTTTCTACGGCGGCATTCTTATGCGTCTATTCGAGCTGAAGGGTTTGTTTTTGCTTCTGATTCATTCGCAGCTTCTCGTTCCCTTTCTTCTTTCTCTGCTGATTTTAATTCAAATCGATCAGTTTTTTTTAATCATTAGGAGCACGTATTCAAAACAAATTAAGTACTAAAAAAACATCCTTTTTACATCGAATGTATATTGAACAAGCGCATATCGGAAATACATTGCGTGTCCTGTCAAACTGCAGCAAATACTGTTCGACGTATACACAAATAAATGTATTTGCATTTCCTCTTGCGCGCTATTTACTTTTCCTTATCATCACAGGCTATATTAATTCGCGTTATTTCGAAAAATTAATTTTGATTGCAGGAAACGAATTGTATATGCCGCAAGGCTACAGACAAGAAACTTGGTTGCAAGATGGTGAGTGCTTTATTTTTATGCAAATTAATAATAATTGACAATTTACAATTATAATTTAATTAATTCCAATGTTGCACGAGCGCGTTTCGAATGTGTGCTTAATTCTACCGAAATCATTAGCCCGGATAGCTCAGTCGGTAGAGCATCAGACTTTTAATCTGAGGGTCCAGGGTTCGAGTCCCTGTTCGGGTTTCGTTTTTTTTTTTTTTTTTTTTTTAGTCTCAAAAATATTTAAAACAAATATAATCATTTTTATTAAGAATCGATTAAAATAGAAAAAATAGAAAAATATTTCTAAATTTAAGAACAGACTTTAAATAGCTATATAATAATGATAGATGGAACTATTGAATATTGTTCTTGTCATTAATTATTATGTTTTACGCAATAACGATTACGGATTCAATAAAATTTATTCGAAAACTCGGAGTATTACTAAAGATACTATTATGAAATTCCACTATTGATTTTTAGAGTTTAAAGATGTAGTATCAAATTATCCCTAAGCCTTCAGCGAAGATAATTACGTGCAGGCAGTATTCGCTGGGAACATTAATTTTAATTACCTTGCCCAACTGCAGTGTAATACGCGGTGGACGTAATGTAACGGACGATTAAAGAGGGTTGATTTTATTTCGGGACGGAAAATAGATATTTTCGTTAAACATCTGACCAAAATTTTGATCCGTGAATCTATTATAAACGTAATTTTTGTTTAAATTTGGTCAGCAAAATTAAGATAACTATGTTGAGTGTCTTTTCTTATGCAGGCAGCAGCTCCGAAACCGAAGACAGCGAACAATACGTGCCCGAGTTTCATCAAATGTCAAGTGAGTGACTACATTTATTTTATATCTCGACTGCCTATATTATTTAATTGCACCGATTTTGTGGAAAAATATTGTGTATCATCGCGTCTCGTCGATATTCGACGTCTGATAATTGTCTGGATAAATAAATCCGGGACTGGAATCCGCAGAACAGGATTGGAGGATGTCAATCTCCGCTGAAATCACCGCGAAATCGTGTATAGTACGCGGAAGTGTTTCGCGCGTCGGTTCGGTCTCGAAATTGGTTGGAAAATCTGTTACCGCGCGCTATCGGAAGGTCTAAATTCTCTTCGAGACGCGAGTCGCATCTTCTCGACACCCCAGCAGCTGCTCTGAAATAAAGATAACCGAGTTGGGCTAAAAATTGGGTCGCAGTCTGTCGTGCAAGCGTGGAATAGTTCGGATAAAAATCGTCTTTCGGAAAAAAGTACATTTACAAAATGTTTACCGAACGTAATTAGGAAAAAATTAATCGACGGAGCGTTCCGATAATTATTTATCCGATTCGACGGTTTAACGTGTAATCGACTAATCAATGAATAACATGTTATACACCGCATGTGCATGTTTAATTAGTCGTCGACGCTTTCCGCGAGTGTTGCGGTTTTCCCCCGCTCGGGGATAGTCTTTTTGCGTTTATTTGCGATAGCGAAGACCATAAAAAAATTCTCGACAGCACAAGATCAGGCGGACGAATTTTTCCCACCGCGTAATCGCGATTGCAAATCGCGATCTCGCAGCCGGCCTGGCGGAACGCAATATCGGTCCTTTATTAAAAACCGGCGAGAAGTCGCCCGCGGGGCAGAATTCTTTTTAGCGAAGCGTAGAGCAGCGGAAAGAATCAACACGGGCGCCTCGGCGCTCGTTGGCGATCATCGATATCGGATTACGCGAGTAAGCACTTTATATTAAGCCAGAGGCGTTTCAGTTCTTTTTTTTTATCTTTCTCTCTCTCTCTCTCTCTCTCTCTCAATGCTGCGCGCTTATTAACGTCGGTTATTGATATCGGCGCGCTGTTTTTCACGTGACGACTGCATCATTATAATAAACGGGCAAGAATTACGCCGCGTATTTGACTTCTCTTCGATATGAAGCTTTACGCGGGCCGCAGTTTACATTATTCCGTGCGCAAAATTTGCGACGTACGATACGTGTAATTCAGCGTTGAACAGCGTTGAACAAACGTATCGTCGAACATTTCAACCGGGCGGGCAAACACCCAGAGGGAATCGGGGGCTAGCTAATGTCTATATGCACATCCACATACATACACATATACAGTGCGCATGCGATTCGCAGACTGCGTATCTTCCGCGTAATATTATATATGTAGTTTGCGACGTATTTAGGAAGATATATGCTCGTATGTACTCGCAGCGTACAGTCTTTATATAAAACGTCAAAATACGCAACATCGACATCTTTATCCGATAAATTAAATTGTGGAGTCTTTAAATATTTCTCGACTTCAAATTCAATGGAATATTATTCAGAGAAGATGAAGAATTTACTCGCTAGAAAAACTAACACCTTTTTCCAATCTTTTTTTTTTTCAAAACGAAATGATATATTAGAAACAATAGCCATGACAATTTCTACCCCAAAGGTGGAAAGACGCATGTTTCGACGATTACTCGAATTTCTCGGACAAAAATTTACGCGATGAAAATTAAACGTATCGCCGAACGGCTATCGAAAATAATTATTACGAGATCTCGCGCGGGCGATGCGATGGCGAGATAATTCAATCTATCGTAGCGCTTCTTCCTATCAGTAAACTTCCAATGTTTACAAATACAATTATCGCCGGAGGCTTGTGACTTATGCTTCCCACGGCCCCGGAGCCTGTTTGATTTATTAAGGGTGCAGCCCTCACCCTCGCGAAATCGTCGGCACCCCATTAGACCTTACCTTCCCTCTCACGTGTCGTTGCAGCGCGATGCGTCTTCACTTCCGGTACGACACGCGCCCTTATGTCCTGGCGCCCCGCCGTTCTTTCGGCTATGAATCGTCCGAAGAAAACGATCGTGCGCCACGCACTCGATAAACGATAACGATATGCGACGGGGGAGGCTCGGCGAAATGTCGCGGAAGCCATTTCCGTCGTCGCAAGCGTTAACATTCTGGCGGAAAAAGATATATCGCGATTTTTTTGAGAGACAATTAATGTAGATTTTTCTCCGCACGTGCCAGGTACGAGTGTCAAGCAAGAGTCGAGCAATTGCACGAGAAGTAGCGACAATGGCAATTATCATCCCCAGTATCAATCCTCCGTCGCGCACAGTCAAAATGGTGATTTCCTCGAACTCAGCACAGATCGTTGCTTCGGGTGAGTCCAAGAGGAAACTCGCTTGAGCAATCGAGCCTTTTGTAATCTAAGTGCATGTAATGTGATCACATCTGCACGCAAACCATCATTTTGCATCGTACGTGAATAGCGAGATTTGCACGCGAATCGTCACACAAATGTACAACTGCGTAAAACGAATTTTTTTTTTTGCGTATTATCCATAGGAATCGAAAGATAAATGCGCCAGCTAATAAAAATACGAAGGACGTCGCCGTGAAAGAGGAACCGGCCGATCGAAGCTACGTGGAACCGCTTCCGATAACGAGCATATCATCCGCAACGTCACAAGACGCGCAGAACGGTAAGAGAACAATATTCAAGACATGTTAGGTTCAGCCGCGTGCAATAAAATTTGGCGGATGAACATTGAATCGGGAGAGAACGCGAATCGATGACTTCTATCTCTGTACGAAAAATCCGCGCCGTGACAAATCTCTGCACAAAAGGATCCACGTGGCACTATTCCACCCTATAGAATCCATAAATAATCGGTGATACGAGGGTACCGCTGTCCATTAATCGAGTCGACTTCCGATTAGCCCTTTGAGGGTCTCGCAGTTACGACGGTAATGGTCGCGTTGCTGTTCTTAATAATTACTCATACCGGTTCTCGGCACGATTATCGAAATATATGTAATGATAACGTAATTTTAAAGGTCGGCAGAGAGTCAACGAATAACTTCTTTGTACTATTGGACTATATTTTTTTATCACACATTTAGATTATATTTTTTTTTTTAAAATATAACTGCGCAAATATTTTCTAAAGCACCACCGCTGCGATAAAAGTAACATTTTCCGCGATCGCCAATGCGCGGGACTGGCTGACGCGTGACTGAGCATGCGTAATTGAATAATTAAACGATGCTTTCAAGTCGAAAGCTATGGCGAGCGTCTTGTAGATTCCAACGAAAGCTGCCGAAAGAAAGAAAGAACGCAAGACTAGATCTCAAGGGAAAATGTAAGTCGAAAGCTTTCTCATGATTCACGCAGTACGGAGAAGCTTTTCCACGCGAGATTAACAATATCTTTAGTAATTGCGTATTAGCCCAATTTTCGAGAAATCCATTATCGCTTGATAAAACTCGGGAATTAACAAACTTTTAATTTTAATGGAATTTTAATGAAAATTAAATAATGCAATGTAACATTTGCTGTAATTACTAATACAAATTGTGATAAATATTTGGTATCGAAATTAGACATAGAATGCCATTAATATGAAATTTTACATAAATATTTCTGTACAGCTACGGACAGTCCGAGATTGTCGAATAATATTTCGACGAGAATAATCACGATAGTTTTTCCATCGGCGCTCATTATCTAATAGGACTGCGAGGGAAAGATGAAAACACGCGCCACCGCTATTCGTTCTTTCGACAAAAGGTAGAGTCAGTGAGGGGTTGCAAGGTCATGCTTTGTAATCATACCGATTAGTCTTCCTTTATTCACGCACACAACCGTGCGCAGCGAGCTGAATCCTTTAGGAACTCGGTTATGCTATATATCCACGGCTCGACGCTGTATACGCGATACTACCCGCCTACTACCAAGTCACCTGGGATTATGCTCATGCTTCTCTTCGCGTAATTCTCCCTACCATTAAGCCGTTTTAATTATTTACACGTAGTTTAGGTTAATAATAGGATACATTCCCTATCGCCCGTATCGATATCCCGCAATCTACTTACGATCATCCAATTTGTTTTTCCTACAGAAAAAAATCGGCTCATACTTTACGCGCTAAAGCGATGAAATATTTCGGGAATACTTAATTCGTCAGCGAGCATATGCCGCGGAAATTGATAATCGAAACGACGTTGTTAACTTTGTGCTATTTTATTGCAGCGAAAACTATTGCACAGGCAGAAATTTAGCAGTGCGGCTGTTGAAAAATGTTTAGAAAAAAGTACAAAATATTGTCGAGATCATCTCGTTTAGGAGGAACGAACAATTTGGGAAGCAATACGTCGAACGGAATAGTAATAACCGGTTAATGGATACCGATTGGTTCCACAGTTGCACTAATTAATACGAGCAGAGGATTACGAGGATTACAGATCGCGATCGGTCTATTCTGCCGACAGTGTCACTATAATCCGCATCTGCCGCATGCGTGCGCGGAAAATTTCGGATGAAATTTCGAATTTCTGTTTCGGCTCCGACTTTGCGATATCGCCGTGAATATTTCGACGAGCGAAAAAGGTGCGCGCGCGACAAAATGTAACGCGCAAAAAGAGCATCTGCCGGGATCGCTCGGGAAAGGACAAGGCGAGCTCGTCTCGGTCGCTCAGTCAGGTGGGTGGAAAATAGAGCTTGCATTATTAACGGAGCACTATGCCGGAATTCGAGGATCAGCGAGGCAGAAGAGAGGAGAAAAAGCGGGCGAGAGAGCACGGGCACGGAAAAGGGAGGAAGAGAGCTGAGCGCCGGCACAACGCGTTCCTCCTCGTCTGAGAGTGGACGAGAGTGGAAGCCATCCTCTTTTCCGTAGCCGAGCCCACCCCGCCGCCCGACCGGCGTGTACCACCGCCCCTATGACCAGTACTGAATTCAACCCTTCTCCCGACCTCCCTCGGTGGTGGTACATCGCCACCGGTTTCATCAGCTCGCGATTAATTTTAATCTAAAACCACCCGCAAAGCCTCTGGCCCCGCTCGCTCGCAAGCTGAGGTCAACCCCTTTCGCCATCCCCGCCGCGTCCTTCTCGCTTTTCGAGAGAGTGCCAGATTGGTCCGGAGCTTTCGGCTCCCTTCCGACGATCCCCGTCTGACCTGTGCGTTTGTCGAAACGCACGTGAAGCAAGACGACGTTCGACTCGACGGCGAGCTCTTTTGCGTCTTAGAAACGTTGGACAAAAGTTCAAACTGTATAAAAAAAAAGTTCAAGCTCGCCGAAGTTCATTCATGCGAAAGCGGATGATTCGAATGTGCGAAACTTTATTCCAAATTTTGGCGACGCGATGCTTCCTCGCAGTTTTCATTCAAGCTGGCCAATTTTGAAACGTATCGTTTTCATCTTTAACGATTCTATTCCGCGCTTGTGTCTATCTTCGGAAAATAGTGTGGAAACAGTTTTCGCGGTACTAAAAAGTCGCGCCGGAAAAAGTCGCGTCGCTTCCTCGAGTTTCGGCGCTTCCGATAGCGCTTGCCCTCGGCGTCGGGTGCATCACGACGTCGCTACAGCAACGTTTATCGGTACTCTTCGACGCATATTGCGACCGCGCGCGCGGCTTCTCAATTTTTCAATATTCCCCGTGCGCGACTTGGAGCGTAACCGGATTACGGCTACGAGAATGGCTCTTTCGGTACCGCGACATCGACGGGGAGTGGCGGTGGCAGAGGCGGCCTCCGTGAAAAAGAGAAAAAGAAAAGGGAGTGGGATGGAGGAAGAGAGAGAAGAGCGCGATTAATATACATATCGCGCGAGCTCTCTCAGCTCGGCTTTCGATATTTCAGGGGGGGTACGCATCGTGCTATCCGCGGGCGGACTCCAGCCCCCGGTGGGCTTTGAATATCCACCAATTTCCTGCCGATATTTGTGTGACGAGAGCGCTTCAACCAGCCCGGCGCGTGAGTGCAATCGGTAATACGGAACGCGCTTTTTGTCCTCCCGAGGATTTCTCCTCCCGCCGCCTCCCGTGGAAAAACGCCCGCGGATAATCCGACGCTTTTCCCCGCGGCTCTCCGCAACGTGTCGCAACGCCTTCTTATTATCGCGTCGCACGATTGAAGAAACGCGGAGCTTGCAAAGTATCTTTGTACACCCTAAAATACAGATTTGATTTTCACGGAGATTGCATATTGTTACTGTTAGATTTACAATTCGTGAGAGCACAGCTCCGCTGAACGTCGAACGGTAGATATCGCGAGATAAAAACGAGTACATAATCGAACGTCGTAAACAGATCGACACGCGCGCAGTTTCAAATTAAATTGTCGACGCTATGCTAGAATTCGGTTAAACTTTTCCTTGCAGCAAGCAGCTTAATTTATCAGCAACATCAACAGTATGGAAATGTGACGAGGGATCATCCTAGGGGATCGTCACCATCGTCCAGTCGTCCGGCTAGCGCTTCCTCCTCAACTTCTCAATGGCAATCGACCTTCCCGTCCGAGACCTTCCTGCCGCGACAGGAAAATTGGAATGCCGAGACTTATGCGAAACGAAGCGTCACGCCGACCTGGACGGAACTCGGCACGCAGCTAGATCCCAGAAATTCGTCCTGGGATCGGCAGAATTGTTACCAGAAGAAGGGCTCGCCGATCCCAGCCTGGAATTCGGATCATATCAACAAGAGGCCGTCGTCGACAACCGGCGTGTCCGCCTGGAGTGACGTGGCTGTCGGCTATCTAGCAACAACGACGCGGTTCTCTGCAACTGTGGCAGTTCCTTGTAGCCTTGCTCGACGATCCCGCGAACGCACCTTGCATCGCATGGACGGGTCGCGGGATGGAATTCAAGCTAATTGAGCCAGAAGAGGTCCGTGTAGAAAATACTCTTAAAAAACTTTTACTATTTTTTAACTTTTGAAATGAAAATTCAAGGAAGATTCCTATCGGAGGAAAGTTTACCTAAATTCCGAAGGAAAGAGTCTTGGAAAAAAATGCTAATTGAATTTCTGATATTGAATAACGTGTCGCGAGTATATTTAGGCACTGTGAATTTTCTGTCGACAGGTGGCTCGGCGATGGGGCGTCCAGAAAAACAGACCGGCTATGAATTACGATAAATTAAGTCGTTCGCTGAGATACTACTACGAGAAAGGCATAATGCAAAAGGTTGCCGGTGAGCGATACGTGTATAAGTTCGTCTGCGATCCGGAAGCGCTCTTCAATATGGCGTACGGTACCGGCGCGTCCTCCGGGATTAGCGGAGAAGTTCCAAGTAGTATGGTACGAAGTCACGCGGTGCCCGGGAAAGGAGCGGGCGGGAATGAAGTTCCAGATTTGATGAAGCATCCCGCCGCGGGATATAGCGACGCGGTTTTCGCTATGTACTCGAACACCGCCGCAGGTTAGACTCTACCCACGTTAATTACATTGTGCATCAAAATTTCCGACAAATTTGGAGATATTGCCAATATTGTCAACGGAGTTGAAAATTGTTATCTCTCAATTTACAGTGTACGGGCCATCCAGCTTCCATCACCTGCATCAGTATCTCGGCGGAAACGAAGGCTTCAAAACACCACCGAGTAGATATCATCCACATTACTCTCATCAGTATGCTGGCAATCATCATCATCACCACCATCCATCCCCGAGTTACGCAGAGACCTTCCTGAACTACAGTCGACTGTCGTCGCACGAGCCCGCTCTCGATTCGAAAGCGCAGGAGCCACCGCCGAGGGACTCGTATGCCCAGGAAACGGAGAGTACCAATAGAGATCGGGAGACCTCGATACCCTACGAGAACGTGCAGAGATCGCAATTGCCGGCCACAACAGCGTCCGAGCAATCATCAATACTGGACAGCGCGGCGAGCTCGAAAATCGAGCAGGCGCCCTACACGTGTCTAGGTGTTGGAAGCTGCGTTTGTTAAATAAATGTGATGGAATCCTGTTATTTGCATATTATTCTAGAAGAAAGGTCTCCCGTCGATTATGCTCCGAATCGTCTGGATTTGTATACGGTACATCTGTAAATAGCATTTATTTTTGTGCGCACCGAATTATCATTGATAGACTAATAAAGTTGTTTAGTGCGAATTTCGATTTGCGTCAAAGCGTTATCTCCGATGTGCGCGTGTTTTAGTAGTTTATCGCAACTGTAATTTATTTTATAAATATTAAATAAAACTCTTTATCAATAGGACGGTTATCAAAAATATGACGATTATTATTTGTATTTTTTGTTTGCAGCTCGACGTGCATAAACGATTCATTAAGCATTAAATTAGGATAAAATTACTCTAAAGCTTTGCCACTACCACCGAATCGTTGCATTATATCGTCCGACAGCAAGAATTATCGAATCAAATAACTCGACAAAGAAAAAATAAATCTACAGTCGTGAAAAATTACATCGCACATTACAAATGAGAACTCATCCCAAAAAATCAACAAATATTAAGTTACAGACTGGATCATCCTCTCCGCTCGTTCGACGATGCGCATATTAACGTAAGTATGCGATTGCGGGTATTTTCAGACTCTGATACGTATGAATCGAATACGTTTTATATTGACCACTCGCTCTTCTTTCCTCGCTCAGTTGAATTTCGGCTAGTAGAAGCAAGACATATTGTTTTCTGTCATTTTTGCTTCTACCTGCAACAATGGGCGGTAAATATCAAATAGCCTGCGTAACAATGACCCGAGTCATTGGTGACCGACTCCCCAACCGTGGACCTAAACCTGTCAACCTTACGATCCAAAAAACTATCAGAAACACTGTAGAAGCGGAAGCAACAACATCAACTCCGAGATTCGTATAAGTGATAATACGTGACTAGTGGTGATTTAAGTGCATAATTTGAGATAGTATTGTATGATCAATTGACAGCAGAAATTTGGTGTAATAGATTGGTAAGTATTTCCTTGTTATTTCAATTTTTTTTAGAAACGATCTATCAGTACTTTATTAATTTTGACACAATTTATTAATTTATATTTGTTATCAATTTTAATAAATTTTAAACATATATAGTTTATTAATTTAATATAGCAAAGGACAAAGGATATCATTAAGCAGCTGTCGGAGACTGCATTTATAGTGAAATTTTCAATTTAAAAAAATTTTATACACTTTAATGTTTTAGAACTCGGACTGAGAATGATTAAATCATCATTCGAATGGCATTGATCTTTTCTACTTAGCTTTCACAATCTGAGAACTGTATTAACGATAAAACTATGCGTTTTATATTTTTATTGATCTTCGCCACCGAGCATATTCTCTCCTGATAATGTGCTGTGCTTTGGATCGATTATTTGAAGCACATTGCCAGTTTTCCGATACCATCTACGAGCGATGTCAAATTCGTCATTTCCACGTCCTTAACGATAATCGGAATTGATGAAGTAATTAGCAGCAAGCGTGTAATCGCATTATATCAGAATCTATTTGAAAGTTACTTGAATGATTACTGAACACACACATCAAACTCTTATTTACTGCATTCTTTATTTTGAACTACATTTGAACTACATGCGTCATCGCACCGCATTAAAAAAAATATAATTTAGTTTGCAGTTTTTCCACGTAGATCAGAATGAGATCGAAATCTGCAGAACGGGAGGCAAGAGGGATGGGTTTCAAGGACGAGCAGACAGCGCTGAACACGCTCGAGATCCTGGACGGTCACGATATCTTATATCAGTATAGCATAATTACAGACTTCATCAGGCGCGCGAAAAGTACGCTGGAGGACACGCGGGACGAGAAGAAGCTGGCGGATCTGCGGGACGGCTTGGAGATCTTTGAAGACTGGTTAGCGGATTTTGAAGAGAACAATCGTATGAAGGAAAGACTCCCGTACCTGCCGATCGGAACGGTCAATGTATTTTACGATCATGCGAAGAAATACGGCGTGTGGGATGACGAGTTTTTCGAGTAAGAGAATCATCATTGCTTCTCGCAAAGAGTCGTGGCGTTCTCCTAATATCGATTTCCGCTTTTAGGGCGTATAAGAACACGGATGGCGACTACGAAGACCTGTGCGAAATGGAAGTACCCGGCGGCGGAGGCATCACGTGGGATGTCGAAAGAAACAGGCGCTTGAAGGAGATTATTTGCAAAATCAAGAATGAACACATTTCGTTGTACGAAGATGTCCGATTTTCGAATTTCCGTCAACCGACGAAGGAACACACACAATGCATCGCGTACTCGCATACAGTCCTGATCCTCATTTTAATATCTCGTCATCCTCTTACCAACACCAGGAATTTTGGGCCAGTTTTGCCATGGAGTTATCCTAGTTATCCCAGTAATGTCATTTTCTTACTCAATTTTGGACAAAGATTCTATGCCAGAGACGCGAATGCGATAGCAATAGTAAATCAGTGCTTGAATAATCTGAAGGAATTACAAGAATAAAACAAGAACCTGATTTTTGGAATCAAAAAATTCGCTCTAAATTTTCAAACAGCAATAACTCTAAACTACAAAATTGCACATTTGTGGTTGGTATAAGGGCGACGATGGTTGAATTACTTAAGAATTTATTTAGTTAAAGAAATTAACAAACAGGATGACAATATGGACATTGAAGAAGAAGAACAGAGAGGCGCTAAGACAGCTTACGCACAGCTCGAGCAGCATGGCCGCATTTACCATAAGATGCATTAGGCGCTGGGACCTCATTTTAAAACCTTACTCCTCACAAATAGCAATGTAAAAAACAGCTAGTTATAATTGCAAAATATAATACTTACTTTTAAATATTAAATTCATAATATAAAAACTAGAGGCCGCTGGAAAATTTGTAAGCCGTAATTGTTTATTAAATTTCGCCTTTTTGCACCATGTAATGATTGTCGATTCTTATTTTTAATATATTTAAAAAAAAATTTGTATGAATTTGATTAACTGAAATAGACTTGTTCTTTTAAGGTCTCATTATGATGTTGCGTTTAGGGCCTCCAAAAGTATAAATGCGGCCCTGTCGAGCAGTGATATTCAGTCAGCAAACCAGATCTCCGGAATGTCCACGAAACTTTCTCACAGACGTCCCCAGTAGGACATTGTAACTAGAATGTTCCAGAGCGGTTCGTAGTATTTATTTGGTACGCAAGTGACCTCTCTTATAGGTTCGTAAAATATCCCTTTTTATCTTAGAACATATACTACTGGAAGGAGCATAGGCCTATAATCCCTGTA